TTTACATTAATGAGTAAAAATATTCTAATAATAAAATATACTATAACAGTCACATATATAACAGTTTTTTGCATTTAGACAGATAGTTTTGCTTAATTAACATTTTCGTTGCAGTATTTTTATGGTGTCATATCAGTACTTTAGTAAAGGCTCTGAATACTTCCTCCCCCACTGCTCAAGTACAATTAAGCCTACTTGTTCTTTACTTTATATTTCTTCTTTACTATATTTGCAGAGGTAAACATTTGATTTGACTGCAACCAGGTAGGTTTCAAATTAAATATTCATCCATCCATGATCAGCTCATAGAAAAATAAATGCATTATTTAAACTACCTACCCGTAAACAATTAGCTCCACCCCAAAAGCTACAACATAAGAAAATCTAATTTAATATTAGAGCATTAATGGAAGAAATTAATTCTTTACTAAAAGTACCAATACAACAGTGCAAAAACACCCCAAGCAATCAAGTCCGGCATTCCTGTAAGAACCCTACTTAAATAAAAGTACAGATGTATCATCAGCTAAATGTACAAAATGTATTGACAGTGAAAATACTTGTTCAGCAGTAAAATGGCCCCTGTGAGTGAGTTACTATTATGGCATTATTAGATTTTTACTGCTGATGCATCACGCAAAGTAGCATTTTACTGCTGTAGCTGGTTGAGGTGAAGCTACTTTATGGGTTCCCAACCTACGAGATTACATTTTGAGAGGTCATGACGTGATTAATGGAGCAAAACAATGTTCTGCTACATTAGTATGCTTTGTTTTTTTGTTTGTGAAATATCAGGTATGGGATAATATTGGATAATTTGATGTCTTTAAGACCTAACTGTCATATTTAATAATTAAATAAATAAAACTATCTGAGAAGTCTAGAGGGGAAAACATTCTAATTGCACAGGTGAAATTAACAGGTCATAAATATCTGAGACATGACAAATGGCTACAACTAAACACTTTTTTTGTAAGGGGTCACTATTAATGAGTTAACTTTTTTTTTTTTTTTTTTACACCATATGTTGTGTGTTTATGTAAACTATTAATGTTCACTGTAGCTGTGAAATCAATGTAGTGCAATAAATAGTACATTATGTATCTCTTACATATAGTGGGGTACAATTATAAAGTATCATAAAATGTAAATTTACATAAATGTACTTCTACTTTTGATGCTTAAGGTATATTTTGCTGATAATACGTCTGTACTTTGACAAAGTACTACTGGTGTAGGCAAGTTGACGAAAGGTCTGGGAACCAACAGGTCAATGAATGAATTCATTTTATCATGTTCTCAAGTCATGTAAAGTTAAATATAGGCTACTACAGCCATTCATTACAGCCATGTGACAACTAAGGGCTTTGACTACAGCTAATCAAACAAAATGTTGCACAATGAACACAAAACAGACTAGACTGAGACAGATAAAGGACCAACGCAAAAAAATGTTAGTGGTGTACAGGATTATAATCATACTTATGATCTAAGTGACGTGGTCAGTAAAAGTGAGTTTAACTTTTATTAGTTCAGACCTGCACACTGTTGTATAATGTTATTCCTTCTGACTGGCCACTACTGCAAGAGTTGGAAAATGATGCGATCACTGCAGCACATCACAAGGGAAAACATGAGTAGGGAATTAGCTTCATTTATTTAGCAACAATACAAAACCATATAAATAATAGGACAGGATGTACGTTAGAAATTGGGTAAATATTTTGTTGGAACTTGACCTAAATAGCAAACAAGTAGAAGAAATGACTTTAGTTGAAAATGCATAACTACAAAAGCATGTTACTTAGTATAAGAACAATGCAATACCTGAGCCTATTTTATTATATGTATTTATTGTATTTAGGGATGGTCATGTGGTCTAAAATGCCTGTGTAGCTCTACTAACTTATTCATGTTTTCATTGATGGTGACACAGCCACAGCATGGCACTAACTGTAAATTATTGATTTAATCTTCACTTGGCAAAATTAAAAAAATGTAATGTACCACACCCATGGTGCTCTTTGAGAGGGTGTGCAAACTGGCATGTAGGATCTGGCAGTTGTTTCCTCTCACTTGTTCTGTCACCTTGGTTATGTAATTGTTGCTCAAAAACCAGTCTGGTGTTCCATTTGGAAACTTTCTCATGTACTACTGTCGCTCTCTAGTGGTGAATGTGTAGATCGGTGTATCAGTGAATATTGTCAACCGTTGGAACTGGCAGAGTGCATCATCTGCTGACTTGTCACCTTTCTCCAGAGCCACAGCAGTCAAAACGCATGAGAATAAAGTCTTTATTATTGCTGTCATAATCATGCCTGTCACAATTTTCAATTGGAATGAACATCAGGTATTACCTGAAACTATATGACCTTTATAAAATTAAGAACTACCAACATTGAGGTGAAAGTTAAGAATACATTTTAAAAATGATCTGTCATCAGTCTGGCTCTTGCTTGCTAAGTCATTCCACTGTTCAGTAGAGATATGGGACATTAATTCATTCTCTAGCATACATAAAAGGAAGTGGTTTATCTGGTTAGTCAAGTCAGTGCACTGCACACTAAAGACATATTAAGCATTTGTAATTTTCTACAGTACATGATGTTTTGTAAAACAAAAAATTAGGTCAAAGTTAAGAGTATATATATATGACAGAATATCTTCAGCACAGTCCTACTGGTATATTTTGGGAAAGAGGAGTGAAGATTGTCTCTAACAATAAGATACTTTCAAGTGCAAGACAGTGAACAATATAGCTGAGACATGCAGAGCCTATGCCTTTTCCTACAGTATACTACACTGAAAAGCTTTGGTGCGTGAGGATCTTTAAGTGCTACTGAAAGCTCTCAGCAATCTGTCCTCCATAGAAAAAACGTTACTGACCAAAATGTAAACCTACAACCTTCAGAGTGTCTGTGTCTTCTGTGCAGTGGAGATCACGATGCACAGAAGATTTACTTACAGAAAGGGCTACTTTCTTTCAGCAAATGGTCTGGACCCACTGCGACTGTGTGGTTGACTCTCCAAATCGCGAAAAGGGAAGCATGGAATTAAAAACAGAAACAACTGGTCCCGCTGAAACTACTGGTGGGTGGAATGCGAGTCGGACCTCAGGCTTGAATAACACAAATGGTCACGTTTCTGGCCTTTAAGAACAGCAACACAGAAGTATCATACTATGTAATAGGAAGTGTGTTTGTTGAAGTGCATAGAGGGAAATCTAGGGGTAAAAAAGGCTAAAGACGATTATATAAAAAGTATAAAAATGTCAAAGCATGTGTCCTGCACTACTTTCAAAAACTCCTTCAGTCTGCAATACAAATCTGAATCTCAAGAGCACAAAACACATTCAGAGCATAAATGACTCCTTCAAACATCCATCTCTTAAAGCTAACTTCAAAGGCTTCTCTCAGTGTGCCCACTTTGACCCAGTTGGCTCCGGCTTTATTCCTCTGGGTCAAAGGCACTGGGCTCAAGACCCTCTGGGGGCCTCCGCTGGGTGTTGTGGGGCTGAGCCAAAGGAAAGCCCCTGAGCTTCTCTTGCAGACTACCTACAGCCAGCCTCATCTGGTCTTCAGCCCCCTGCAGAGATTTCAGCTCCATGGTATAGAAGATGTACAGCAGAAAGGTGGTCAGCAGGATGGCGAAGCACAGCGCAGCCAGCATGTAGAAGGAGGTACGAGGGAAAGGTTGTTCAGCTCCCAGGGCCAACCAGGGCACAGCAGCGATGGCCAGCTCCAGAAAGAGCAGAGCCAACCCCATCACTCCGGTGCGCGTTGCCGTGTAACGCATCCTCTCAGCACAGTGCAGACCCACCTTGACTTCAGTACGAGCCTCTGTCACAATGTCTACCAACTCAGCCACCTTCCCTGAAGACGAGAAAAGACAGCGGAGTCACTAAAGTGAGTAAGATCCTCTGTGAATCACAAATGTGCGTACAAGAATTTTCGTCATCTATAATTGTTGAGATATTTCTGCTTGAGTACCGATCAAATGACATTGCCATCGTTACAGCTACCCTGCTAGCATGGCTAGTAAAGAATACCTGCAGCAGTGGCCAGATTTCCCGATTTCCTGTCACTGTCGGTTTCAGTTGGAGCGTGTGTCTCCAGCCTAAGTTCAGCCGTCAGAGCTTCATGGTCGGAGTATGGGAATGGATGGTCTGGGACGGAGCCTTTGGTGGTGGACATGAAATCGCAATAAATGGCTACTTTGGAAGAACCCTGAGAATGAAAACAAAAACAAAATGTGCTTCAGGATTCAAAACAAATTCATGGAATGACTTCAACATCTTGCTGTGAACACGAAGCGGTTAAAATACAGCGGGAATGACAACACAGAGCTGTCACGCACCTTGAACATGATGTAGTCGATTCGAATTCCCTTTTCAAAGGGAGCGAGCTCCTTTTTACTAATAAAAGGGTTGTCGGCTATCAGAGTCAAACCGTCCTCACACCCCTGCAACAGAAAATCATTTATAAGTCCAAAGGAAAATGCATTTTTTATCTTAACAACCTGGCTATTGTTTTCATAGTCTTCACTAATATTTCTGTCAGTTATTATTAAATGTTACTTAGTAGCTTAATTTTTGAGATAGCAACAATGACCGCTGGATACAGTTTTACATTTTAGCAGAACTACTTCCTGACAAAGTGTCTTACTGAAGTTGTGTATGCAAGAGGTTTCAGAGTGCTGTGGATGATCATATCGGATTTGTGGTGAGTGGTCATCAAACAGAAAAGAAAGTGGTTAACAGAGCTTGTTTTAAATCTGACTGTTAGCCATCAGTAGTGTTGTAGAGCTATCTACCACTGTCACTGTGTACTACGTTTAACCATTAAAAAACAATACAAATTATGGCCAAACCTACAAGAATAGCACCAAGCTGAATTTTCCTTCAATTGCAGTATATTGTGCAGCATTTCTGTCACTACCTACATCAAACTTAGCAGTCTCTAAATAAGAGTCTCGGAGTCCAGTGGAAGTCCTCAGTAGTCTGTTACCGAGGTCCTGAGGGTGCATGTTGAGGTCACCACCTAAAATCACCACATCTGCTCCAGCAGAGGTGTGGCTGATAGGGACAGAGAAACACATTACTACCACATAACTCAACATGAAGATGACACTTTACTGTGTATAAAAAAGCATTTAGCAAAAGAATACTGCAGAACACTTTTAGGTAAAATCTTGCTACAAACATCATTAACACCAACTGACAACAGGTGAGGCTCAGAAAAAAAATACGCAAATATACACCACAGTAAACAAATATAATATGAGCTGAATAAACAAGTAAAGACACGGTACCGAATGAACTGCTGCAGCTCCCACGACTGAACCACTCTATGAGGTAGATAAGAATCCTTGTCTCTGCAGTATTCTGCATGCAGCTGAAATTAATACACAGGGACAACAGCACGCTCATATAACTAACTGTTTAATATAAACTGATATGGCTGAGTGCAGATGTTGGGGAGCCTTACATGAGTAACATAGACGTTTGCAGTCAGGCTGCCAATGTTTAAGACGGCCATCCCGACAGCTTTCCCTCCAAACCAGTCTCCATGGTGAGCCTGAACGTTAGGAAAAACACACAAAGTTACGGGAGGAAAGGAGGTATGTTACTCTGCAAATAGAGGCAGTAACACTAAAGGATCACGTATCCACTCTGAGGGGGGAGGCGTGTATGAGACTGGCTCCGGACTATATTGCTGACTTGCTAACTCCAAACGAGCCTAAGTGCAGGCCTGAGATGCGCTGATAGGTCTCTATTAATAATTCCTAGGTCAAGAATAAAAACCGGAGGAGATCTGGCCTTTGCAGTCAGTGCCTCTTGAGTCTGGAACGACCTTATTCTACACGCTACTCACTGAGTCTCACGCTCTCCACACTTACCATGTAAGGATAACCATTGAGAGAGTAGCGATAAAGAAACGTGTCACGGATTCTGTGTTTGGAGAAAATGGCCAGCCCACTGCCTATGACTCCACTGCAGAATGAGAGGAAAAGCAAGACATGAGCAGAAGTTGTCTGTTTCACACTAAAAACCAGCATCAGCAGTACCTTATTATCGTTTAATGAAATAATAACTCCCATCCCTGGTGATTATAAGTAGGTGTTATCTGTAGTAGATGTGAGAACTTATCTACTAGGGTTGACATTTTTGTGAGTTGCAGAGGGAATTAGAGAGGTGGAACCTTTGATTAATCTGAGTCTTATGCCTTGGTGTAGAGTTCAACAAGGGACTAATCTTCAGAAGTTAATCCTTATAGGTAAAGCCTAATCTTCAGTTAAATTTTGGATCAATGCCATTAAAGTACATTTTTCTGACAGTGGGACACTTTTGAAGATATAACAACTTACTCATGAATTTTAATCACAGACTGAAAGACGTCTGAACGGAAACAGGTTGAGCAACGATTGCACAGCAGCCTTGGGAGGAGCGTAAAACCATTACCTTTTGAAGTAATGAGAGTGAGGATGACTACAGCCAAGTTTCTGTTTCAAGGAGAGATAGTCTTTCTCACTCCACACCTGAAAGAAAAATCTGTATGTCACGCAAAGCAGAATACAGCAGGAGTCTCTGCATAATTAATATTGTTCATACAAGTTTACACAAAGGATTGTGACTTAAGGTTGGTCGAGCAGAATACACAACTTGTTTTTTCCCATTTAACGGAACGAAGTCCATCAGATTAGTGACTCTGCAACTTTATAACTCTGTAAGATGGCTTCCACCAACCTCTTGCAGTAAGACAATATCATGTTCTTCCTTGCACAACGTGTCTCCAATCATGTCATAGCGCTGAGGACAGTGTTTGCTGAGGTAGCGGATCCCCCTGAAAGCAGTAACAGAGTGTAGACTGTGTTTTTGCAAACATGTAGAGACAAAAAAAAAAAAACCCCAATGCATTGAGAATCACTAGAAACCACAGCTACTGACCAGCAGTTGAGAGAGAAGACCCGCAGACCGACAGAGTCTGCATTAGCCATGCTGACAGGTCGGTGGATCAGTCGATGTGAGTGTCAGATCAGGTGAGATGACTGGGACTGCTCCTAATGTGACACATAGAAATGATTGTTAGACATCGTTGTCCAGGCATGCACAAAACCCTCCCACGTATTCTCATAAGCACTGTAATAAAACAGGAGTAGTTTGAGGGTCGGACCAATCAAACTCCAGCGAAAGTTCAGTCAGGAAGGCTATTCTTTTGCATATACTGTGTGTATGACTGTAGTTAATTTCTCCTTCCACCCTGCATTCACAATTTCCTGGTCAGGCGCTGTCCATCGAGATATCAGCTGTTCTCATTCAGCTGGTCACATCTATCCAATAGCACAGTGACACATCTGCATCTTTAGCCTATCATCTTGCTGCTGTCTTTTTAAATGTGATTCTCTCTCTACCTTCAGGTAATTCATGCTGCTTTTATACGCGGCCCTCTCCGTAGATTCGCCCCGTCTTCTCAGATTCATCAGCCTATCAGCTTCAGCAGAGTCATCAGCCACAGCCACCAGTGTCTGGACTCCATGGGGGGGATTTATTTTGCTGCTGCTTGATCATAAAAAAAATCTCCTTCTAGAGTCTAAAATCGCCCAAGACTTAATCATCACACAAATCTTTACTTTATTCATTCTCCTGACTGAACTGAAACTTATAGACCAAGGTCAAAGACCCATTTTACACAATTGTAAAAGTAAAAAAAAAAAGCACAAAATCACACGTCTGAGAAAGAAGAATAAGTGGAAAAAACTTAAAAACTGCACAGTAAGCGCCAAAAGTGCAAATGAAGCAGATTGCAGCCTGACTTTAGTTCCAGTTCTGGGCCTTAAATTGTTTTGAGGATTCAGCCAATTTTCACAATTATTAACGGACAAACTTATCTTTGGCTCTGTGTAAAGGTATAATCAGGTCTGAAAATGAGCAACTATGTCGTTTCTACTAGTGTGTCATAACTGAGCTGACCCTGGCAGGCCTCAGTGTGCAATGCAGATGGAAAATGTTGTTGATTTTTCAACAAAAAAAGAGACAAAGTAAAGAGGCGATTGAATTCACTCTTCCTCCGGGGAGTGAAACAATACACCAGCCTCAAACAGACCGCTGACATAGCTGCTCTGCCTGGAGAGAGAAAAGAAGCAGCACGCAGTGAAAAGAAACAAGGGGCCAAACTTGTTATTCATGTGTCAACACAAACAAAGCAAACAGC